ATGGATCCTGCCTATACTGGAAGTATGTGCTGTACTCTTTTTCCTTTCGACCAGTTTTTATCCCAATCGGGTTTTTCTGGCAAGGTTTTTAATGAGGCAACAACGAAAAACATACTACGAAGGGAGCGTCATCAGCAAAGTTAAGACCTTAAATAACAAGGCATTGAGATCATAAACCACTGTGGGATGGCTAGATAATCTTTGGCTCGATGGCAAGTTCCTAATGGGAAACAAAACTTTCCATCGAACCAAAGACTATCAAACTGCTCACAAGTGTTTAACTAACATAGCAAGACTTCAAATGTTTCGATTCTCATACTTCGCATTCGAACACTAGGGGGGAATAGTATTGGATACGGCAGCAAGGATGCCACGAAAATCGGGACTATAAGACCCGGGAACAACAATGTCTCATCGAGACCGGGGACTGCATGGCTAGCCCCGTAGAAACAAGTTGTACGAGTTAGCCACGTGTATTGGAAATTTCTTTTCTTTATCAATCAAATGCCTATATGCTTTAAAAGATGGAAGGAATAAAATAAAGTCCTTTTGTTTTTATCTTGTTTCTTGTCCAAACGATGAGTTAATTTTATCATTTGAAAGTTAACAGAAAACTTCAAATGCTTGTGCCGGAATGAACAAGAGACGTCCTCTTCAAGAGAACCGTTAACATAAGAGGGACCTCTCTTATGAAACTCTCATAGTAAAGGGTTGGTTTCGAAAGAGCTTATGCCCGGAACAAAAAGCTATCGGACAAAAATACACTCGAAGCCTTATCTAATTCGACGCAAAAAGAAGAAAATTGTGCGCAATACTTAAGCAAAAGTCTTATTTATTTATAAAAAATGCCAAACGGCATAAGTACAAAAGTACAAAGGAAAATAACAAAAGAAAAGAGGAAAAATCTAAATATTATCGCCACCGTAACTCGGGGGGAGAGAGGCATCTACGCCCCCGAAAGAAGTGGGTGGATCAACCGCCGGTGCGGGACCTGGGCCTTCATCATCGTTCTCTTCAAGTTCCTCTTCGGTTCTCGAATACTCAGAACAGGTACTCGAAGAGTTAGTTGTGTCAGGCTAAGTTGGGAGACATTCTCGACAATTAACTCCAGTGCTCGGGCCTTGGCGATTTCATCATCAATATCAACGATGCCCACTTTGGCCTCCTCCAAGATTTTTCTCCTCATATGATACAGAGCGTATGTCATTTCAAAGATGAGGAATCCCCTTGGTGTTGGAGCTTTGCCTTAAGTATGTCAACCTCGGCCAAAAGGCCATCCCTCTCGGATCTCGTGGCAACAAGGCTAGAATCAAGGATACAAATTGTGGAAAAGTGAAGCCGGTTTTGATCCATGATTTTCTTGAATCTCTCATCCATTCGGGCTCGCCTCTCCTTGACGGCATTAACCTCCTCGATTTTGGAGTTCAAGGCTGCCTCCAAATTATTCACTTGCTCAACGGAGGTAGACTCGCGCTTGGCAGCAGCAAGAACAACATCCTGAAGCTCAAACCACCTAGCCTTAGCATCTTGAAGTTGTGGATGTAGCTGAGTGGCTTCTTGGTTGTAGGCCATCACTTCCTCCTCACGTTTCTACAACTGGGCCTCAAGCTCGCCCGCTTCAGCAACCTTTGCCTCCAACACTGGGAGACGTGTAGCAAGCTGATTCCTCTCAGCCAACCGCTGATCTCGTTCGGACATAAATCCTTCTTTGTCGAGAATTAATCTCTGAAGGCCCTCAGAATCAAGGAATTGGCTTACAAAACATGTATCAAAATTAGAAACCCTGTTATAATAGATAAGTAAGAAAATAAGAAGTAAAAGAACAAGTACGGTACCGCTGGCGCATTGTGCATGGCATTATTCAACATGCAATCCCCTAAAAGGGAGTGTATCTTCTTCTTATCTTTCTCCGAAGCCAACGACTTCAGGTAGTTGGCAAGCTCCACCGGCTTGGACAGTAGATGGCACCCCTTTGAAACCGAGAGAGTGACACTCCTCCTCTCTCGGGGATCTGGAGAAGGGGGTGAGTAATTGTACCCTAAATTCTCGTGGTCGAGGAATTGGGGATGAGAAGCACCCTTCTCTCGGGCGTCCGTGGCCGGCGAAGGAGATGCAGTAGATGCTGATGGCAAAGGTGCAGCTGGCGTAAAGGGGCGTGAAGTTGTTGGTGTTGTAAGATGAGAAGCAGCTGCAATGAGAGCAGCGCTGATTATTGGTTGCTCATCAACCGAAGGCAGAAAAGGCCGGGGGTCCGAACTCCTTGGACCAAAAACAACAATGGGGACAGGACAACGGGAGTTGGCATTATCTACCAGATCCATCTTGCCCCATAGTCCTTGGACCTCTTCATCGGTCGGTTCTAAAAGCTCTCCCGATTAAGCATTCGATTGAGCTGATGAAGATTGTTGTCTCTGTTGAAGGGAAACCTCTTCATCACTAGCTTCCCCGTCATCTTCAATGACCACTTCAGCCATGGATGAATCAGTTGTGGCCTTCTTTATTTTCTTAATTTTATTCCCAGCCGAGGAAGAATGCCGCCTTTTTGGTCGCTTGTTCTCTGGCTGGGGACTCCAGGAGGAAGTACTCCCACCAGAAGTAGACCCGAGGGCACCACTTCGAGCGAGGGCACTTTGTAACAGTCTCACATCCTCCACGGGGTCGGCCAAAACTTCGACCTCCTGGCAGGTGATAGAGCCCTATGGGAGTCTTGAATCAAATAAAAAGATATGGTTAGAAAATTTACTTATGCACATACAGAGGTAGAAAATAGAAGAACTCAGTTTACCGTAGTTCTTGGCCATCCATCTATATTTGGGGGCCATTTTCTTCCACCGACGGGTTTCTGGCATTGTAATATCAAGAATCTTCTAAACACATTGGTTCAGGCCTTCAACCCTTGGTGGTGTCCACCGTGTAACTGAAATAATGGAGACAAAAGGGTCAACAATGACAGGGAACAACCTTTTTACGGAGAAAAGAGATGAATAAATTACAAACTTATGTGAGTGGTTCCATGATTCAGGAAAGGACAGAATTGTTGTCGGGATGATTCATCCACGATCATTGTCATCATCCACGCTGGTAAGAAGGGCATGCTGGCCACGTTTACTGAAATTTATTACTCCCCCACACAAGATTTTGGGGGAGTAGAGGTTCATCATATGTGCCAGGGTTAGGGTTTTTCCCGCCTCCGTGCACAGCTGGCGTAGGCAAGCTACCGTTTGCCATATAGATGGGCCTACTTGTGCCTACCAAACCTGGTACCGATGGCAGAGCTCTAAGATCATGAGGTCGAGCCCCCCGCTCAAAGAAAAGGGAACCAAGATGAAGGGGTACATATAGACATACGTAAAACCTTCCTCGGTAAAGGTAACCCGCTCTATCAGGTTAGGAGCAATGATGTTAAGGTTTGGGCAGTTACAGTCTTCCTTCACAGTAGGAATACTGGAAGGACGAATAGAAGAAGGATACCTACTAACAACCCAAGTCCGTAGATGCACAGAGGGAAACTTCTCTTGGAAGTCATTAACGGTGCTCAAGTATTTGGGTATGATGGTGCTTACCGTGGGAGGATCAACATCGTCATCAACCTCTTTATCTTTGTTTCTTTTCGGGCCTCCACCAAAGAGAAGATCGGAGTTCTCAAAAGACTCAGTAAAAGAAGTCATAATAATAAGAAGATGATGAAGTCTTTTGAAAAAAATCGGAAAGAGATGAAAGCAGAAAAATGTTAAGTGCAAAGAAGGTAAGAAACTTATAAAAATTTTGGAAGTGAAAGAGGCAAGATGATGAGTATAAGTATAGATATAGACGACAAAAATCGTGGTCATGATTACCTCGAGAACCGGAAAAAATATTGCTAAATTATGGGGCAACACGTGTTCGAAGTATTAAAAGCGAGAAGACGTGCGTCCTTTCAAGCGTCAGAGACTGTTCAGAAGGTTTTTAGAAGATTTTCCGCCAAGAAAGGGATCTTTACCAACTTCCCGGTGACACAAAGATATGCCACCAGAAAGCAGGGGGGCTATCTGTATAGGGTAAAATTGATTTACATTAAATGATCGAATGAAAACATGACACGTAGAACCGAAGACAGGTAGAAAGTAAATTGCGTAGTAACTAGTACCGGGAACAATAACTGCAATTGACATCGGGCTGACCCCGAAGGGAATATGATCAACGTGAGCAGAATCAAATGCTTGGCATTAAATGGGCAGCCGTTGCAGAGAATATTTGCATTCATGGCCTGCCGTTACATATTCATCAATGGCCCTCTTTATTGTCATTTAAGAGGGACTTGTTGGTTCCCTAGGTATAGCAATAGCCATTGTAACACACGAAATTCTGGGCAAAACTAATGCTACATTCTATTCTCAAGCTAAATAAAATAACTTTACTTGCTCTTTATATTATTCTTATTTCTGTCCCCGAAGGTACTGCTCCCGGAGCCAAGCTTGTCATTTCCTTTGATTTTAACCGCGAAGTCTTATTCTTATTTTTAATCTAGTTTCTTTATCATTTTTGGATCATTAGTTCGCTTGTGTATAAACCACGTAACAAATTCAACTGTACCGTTTTACGGATAAACACTCTAATTTTTCCCATATCAGAGGGCTTTGTTCGATTTTCTTGATCCTCACCCAGTATTCATACTCAGTTTTGGGCAAATTAATCCGGATTCAATTTTCTTAATTATCATGTCTTGGCTCTTGGTGGTCTTCACTTTTTTTGTCTCTTCCAATTTTACATGAGTTTTCTTTTTTAAGTTTCCATCTTCTCCTCCTTATAAGAAATTACGTTCCATTTGTACTTTAATTTCTCGCAAAACAAAAATAAATAAATAAAATAAAGTAATGCAAGAAGAAACTACTTACTCCACTACTCAACATGAATTCTTAATTACCGTTTATTAGATTTTAACATTGGTTGCTTTGCCTCATAAAGCGGAGCCATTACTCACAAAAGAGAAGATATGAAAAAACTAACCAAAAGTGGGGAAATGTCAGAGTAAGCAACATGGAAATGTTGGCCTTCACGTCCCTTCTCAACATGCAGAAGCTTATTCTCCTCTCCATTTCCATGTCTCTCTTCTGACATTTCCCCTGACATTTTCACTCTGATATATAATTAACTCTCTTTTCCTCCGCCCCCCCCCCCCCATAAATATATTAATTAATGATGGCTGGTGGTGAAAATTGTCGTACCAGCCCGTTGGCTGCCACCATCAAGACTCGTCGGAAACCAATGGATTTTGTCGAAAAAGCAGAGGAAAATGGCAATGGAAAAGTTGATTTTACCGCACAAAACCACCACCAGCTTGGCCATCATCAGCATAGAATTAGAACGGTTTCCCTAATGAGATATATGAGATCAGGAAGATATCTGGGCCGTTGGATTTTTGGAGCATTAATGTTATTAATGGTTTCAACCATGTTTGTGAAGATTATGCTGATACACTTCTTTCTTAGAGTCAATGCCTCGATGAGTTCCCGTGATTTCTTGCAACTTCCACGTACTTCTCTTGAAGCAAGAGACCTCATGCATGCAAAGGTTATACCTTTTGTTTACTTACTGTAAAATAACTTCTTGAAAAATTGATTATAATATGTACTCCTATATTTGCAGGCTATAATCACAATGTAATCCAAAGTTTCCTGTTTGTGCATATGACAAATATTAATTTCCATTTTCTTTGTTGTCAAAAAATTCAAATTTATGATTATATTTTCCCCACCGTTATCAAATGCATGCATAAAAGAAAAAAGAGGAAATCTTTTACAGAAGTCAACCCCAGAATATTGCCTGGATTCTTTTGTGATTCACGAACTTTGGTAATTTGAAGACGGTTATATTTGCAGCAGAGGTTTAAGTTTATAGAATGCAGCATAAATTTTTTTTACAATATCAATATAATTTAATTTATGTCTGTTTAATTTTTCATGTTACTAATGCCACTTATTTTGAGTGGTCATCTGTAGTTATTTTGTAGGAGATATTCTTACGGTGTAAAAATTCTTTTAGATTAATATTGTATAAAAGTTAGACTTGTAGCAAATATGGGAGTTCTTTCGGCGTATTTGACCTTTTCTTGAACTATAAAGTATCTTTATGTTGTGAATGATATTGTACTCTCATTATGGATTATGCTCGATGTCTCTCCTCAGAATAATGAAATCTGGACGAACCCTGGAACTGACAAGTATTATAAATGCATTGCTCGATCAAGTAAAGAGATAAGTATGTATACTTAAAAGTACTTAAATATTTTGGCTTTGCTTATTGGATTTTACACCTTTTCATTTATGCGATTTCTGTAAGTTTTGAAACTCCCTCAGGAGACAAAACTATCAGCAATGGTTATATTCTAGTTCATGCAAATGGCGGATTAAACCAAATGAGAACCGGGGTAAGACATTATTGCCAGCTTTTAGTTTAATAGGGTTTTGGTTTTTGAGTTATTGGTGCTTCTATATGAGTTTAATATTTCTCCACTTATAGGCAATATCTATGTATGTTTTAAATTAACTATTGTTAACCATCGACATTGAGCTTATGACCAAGAAAAGAGGATAGATAACCTGCAGCTACAACCAGTCATATTAGAGCTCTTAAAAATTCTTTGTACAGTGGATATAAATAAAATTCATCTTTTATTTATTTATAGTCCGCACCTGGGTGCTCGTTTATGCCGTGAGTCGAGAGTGAAAATCAATTAAATCAAACATGCCTAAGCACTTTGCAAAATCAACTGTATGAGTAGTACTTTTGAAGTGAAAAGAGCTCAAAAGTGGTAAATTATAGGCTATGAGTTTTATCATGAATTATTCAGAGGATAAATAGTTTAGAACTTTCTAAGCTAATCCGCATACATACTGAATTTTTTCATGCATATACGAATTAGGTCACCTTAATTGAATCAAGCGTAACTTTGATGCAAGCTAAATCTACTATCATAGGTTAAACTACATTGCTAGTGTAAAAAAAATCTATCATTTGTCAATATTTATAACTTAAACCCTTTAGTTTATCTGTGAAAACTACTAATTAATTTGCTAAACTTTGTTGCAGATAAGCGATATGGTAGCGGTAGCAAAACTAATGAATGCCAGCATGGTTCTTCCCTTGTTAGATCACAAATCCTTTTGGACAGATCCTAGGTGAAAAATGTACTTCCATTCTACTGCATCTCAAATGAAGAGAATTGCATCTCACCACTTTTAAAACTGATCCTGTTTTTATAGTGAATTCAAAGATATATTTAACCGGAAGCATTTCATAAGAGCTTTGGAAGATGACATTGAAGTACTGGAGTCTCTTCCTCCAAGTCTTGCAAATGTGGAACCTCTTATGAAGGCACCTGTTTCTTGGTCAAAGGCACGCTTCAGAAAAATTAATGGAAGGTGTGTTTCTGCTTGGCTGATATCTAAAAAATTGTTGATTTTGTGCAGGCCAGTTACTACAGCAGAGAGATTCTGAAGCTATTAAAGAGACACAAAGTAATAGAATTCACTCATACTGATTCACGACTCGCTAACAATGGCATCCCAGATTTTATCCAAAAACTCCGGTGCCATGCCATGTATGAAGCACTTAGTTTTACTGAGGAAATTGTAGAACTTGGAAAAAAGTTAGTAAACAGACTCGGGGAAAATGGTGAACCGTATATAGCTCTCCATTTGAGGTACAAAAACAAGAATCTTGAAAATTCACACGCCTCTTTTCCATTTTATATGATATTCTTTTCTGTCTAGTTAGTCTATTCCAAGAATGACACATTTCTATATTTTGAAAAGTCTTTAATTGAGCTCTTATAGCAATAGAAATGTCATGACACCTTTAAGAGCACAAGTTGTAAGGGTACATATATACTATGGATCTTCGTTAGTAACTAGAGAGTTACATTCATGACAGATATGAGAAAGATATGCTGGCTTTCACAGGCTGCAATTACAACCTTACTAGAAAGGAATCTGAGGAGCTTCGAAAATTAAGGTACAAAACCAAGCACTGGAAAGAGAAAAGGATAAATGGAACAGAAAAGCGGCTTCAAGGGGGGTGCCCCATGACACCGCGAGAGGCTGCCTTGTTTCTCGAGGCAATGGGATATCCATCCAACACTAAAATCTGCATAGTTGCAGGAGAGATTTTTGGTCAAAATGGATTAAAGGCTCTTCAAGAAAGATATCCAAATATATATTCCCATTCCAATTTGGCAACAGAGCAAGAGTTGGAACCTTTTACNATACCATACAGGCATAACTGTAGAAGAGTTTCATAATCATAACCTGTGCAATTTATTCCAAAAATGCTGGATTGAAGAGTCAGTTTTTCAACATTTCCTAGCCTTCGGATAATTGGAATATTGCGCAATCCGTCCTTTCAAATTTCCCTGCAGGAAAATTTTTCCTGGCAAATCTACAAGGATTTTTAAGTTGTAACATAAACATTTTACTTCCCTTTGAACTTTTCTTTCGTAACAAACAATGACAAGAACATTATTTTTCTTGTCTTTGCTTTATGTTTACCCGAAAAATTAGATAGAGTTAAATTCGTATATGGTTTTAAGGATACGTGATATAACTTGGTACAAATTGCAGAGTGAAATAGAAATATATATATTCTTTAACAGATGGAATGAAGTATAAGACAAAGAAAAAGGAAATGTTGATGAACAAGGCAAAGTAAATGAGCCCAAAAGTGTTAATCTCTCTCAAGTTGTCTTTTTTACCGTCTATCTTTATGCTTACAAGAATTTCCTCCTTTATATTATAGGGATCCTACTTTATCTATATAAAAAATATATAGTGGAGAACCCATGATGAATTGTCTTTTCCTCGATTCCTGCCAAGATTCTCTCCCCTAGTGCGGTTGCAACGACTCTTGTCTGTGAGCTCGATACCAGCTCGATCTCAGTATTGGATCGAGCCCTCGGCCTTGGTTCGAGCTCGACTCTGACTCGGAGTTTCGATATTCGGGGTGAGTGTTGGATAGTCTATGCATCTTCGATAATCTCCGTTTTGCCTCGTAGTTCGATTTGGATATGAGCTCGATAATGATACCGAGCTTGTCGTTGATTGGTCTTAGAGCTCGAAGCTCGACGCCCTTACTTCGGATCTCGACCCGTCGTCACGCAGATACCCTTTGATCGAAGTATTATCACCTCGACCAGTCCATAAGACTGACTTAATCGATTTTGACCGTACAAAGATAGTCCCCTCGTTTCTCGAAAAAAGGATGTGGCGAGAAACGATATGATTTCCCAACAGCTCGATCAGATATATGCTGGCGTCTGCATCGATCCCGACCATGACATACGTGATAGCTGTCCCATCGGTTCAGTTTTACCAAGGCATTTAATGTGTGTCAGACGGTGGTCGGTCACCGCTGATATTGAATCGTCATTGCTTCAATCTATAAATAACCCTTCCCTTTACCATTCATCACTTTTGTGTCTTCAATCTTCCAAATTTTCTAAGTTCCCTTTCGTCTTTTCTGAGTTTTCTGTCTGCAAATCTGTGAGTTTTATTGCACATTCTTTCTTAAAACACCAAATACTCTCGTTCTTTGTTCACGGAATTTTAAATGGCAAAAACGTCTAAAACTGTTCCGCAAAAAGAGACTGCTTCTTCATCTCGACTTGCTGGTGGTGAGGATGTGGAAGAACCCCGCCCTGAGAAATTCGTTTCGGTAGGGTGCTCGAATGTAGGTGATTTTAAAATTGAAAAGCCTTCACCGATACCGGGTCGGTGTGAGCCGATGTCGAGGTACCAATATTCAATTACCGAGAAAGTTCTCGATAAAGTCATACAAGAATGCAACTGGCATAATAATCTCGTAGTAATCCCATCGCATGATGAATCAATTACTACTCACGTCGAAGGGTTCTTAAGTGTTTACACTTATCCTTTCACGTTGGGTCCTCTAGACCCTATCATCGTTGCCTTCTGTAAGAGGTGCGATGTGACCCTCGGCCAGATCCACCCTTCCTTTTGGAGGATAGTGATTCTTCTTCAACTTTTCTCGAGCAAAGTCGAGGGCGTATTTTCACCCTCGATCATCTTATGTGCCTCTACAGTTCCCGACTTTATCGAGGAGGGTTGATCAAGCTTGCTCGCCGAGCAACTAAAGCGCCTTTCTCGAGCATAGACGAGACTCGACATCGGGGTTGGATGGGCCGTTTTGTTTGAATCAAAACCTCAGACCTGATCCCTGCCGATGACTTACCATTTCCCGAGAAATGGAATATGAGTCGTGAGTAAATATTTCTTTTTGCCCGTTTTGATTTTGTGATTTCCTTTCATTTTGTTGATCTATTTTTCTTTTCTTATCACAACCGTAGCTCGGATGCCGGAACCGATCCCAAATCTTAAACAATGGGTCGAAGGTATGGTGTTGCAGAGACCGTACTCTGAGCGTGCTTGGGTCGAATTATCAAAGGGTCGATGGGAGGTCCGCAGTCATGGTAAATCTTTTTATCGATTTGTCTCTTTATCGGTTTGTATGGTAAATCTCCCTTTTTCCCCTTTGTAGGACTCGCGAAAGATGTAGTCATGAGGCCTCCATCTGGTGGTGAAAAAGTTCCTGCCCTGAAGCAGGTAAAAGAAAGGAAGAGAAAAGACGTATCGGGCTCCCCGAGCTCGGAAAAGAAAAAAACGGCTAAGAGATCTCGAAAGCTGAAGAGGGGCTCTGGTGTTATGTCTTCGGAAGTGGCCCGCCATTTAAGGGATGAGCCCGAAGAAGGAGAGGAGAATTTAGCCTGCGTACAGGCTAATATTGTGATTCAACAGTCTTCCTTTTGGTGGAAGCAAATCAGGGAACCCTGGCCATAATCCCAGAACAAGAAGAAGTCGAGATTATCCCTTCTCGAGCTAAGATGATTGAAAGGGATACCGAGGGTGGATCTTCTCGGGCAGTAGAAGATATTTCAAGGGATGAGTTTGGGATAGTTGACATTAGCGGATCCCCTCAGATTTCGGATGCCATGATTCAAGAGGCCAGCATGTTGGAGGATCGGTCCTATGAGGGTATTCAGGAGTCGGCCGATATCCACGATTTTCTGGAGGGGCTTGAGTCAGGTGCCTCGGAGGAGGTTACCGGTTTTGGTGGAATGACGGTACCCAAAAAAGCATCGTGGTCGGGTTCTACCGAGCCTTCATCGATTCACAAACTGGTGGACCGATTCCCAGCCTCGAGTATCGATCCCGACCGAAGGCGGAAGATAGTGCTCTCCGTACATGAGGATACCTGAATTTTTTCTCCCCCTGTGGGGATTTCTAGTTATCTTCGGTCCTTGGTGACCGAAGAAGACCAATCAGTGATGAATGCGGTGAGGCCCACTTGTCTCTTCAACGAGGCCCAACATGCTTTGAATCGAGTAACTCTGATGGCGTTTTTGCCACTTCTTTCAAACTTAGAATTATAGGTAATTCTAATGTTTCTCGTTCTGTTTATAGGCTTCAGTGTTGCATCACGAGGACTTTCTTCGAATCCGGGAGGAGCATGATGCCAAGGTTCGGAGCCTCACTGAGAAGAGTGACTCGTGCAAGCTCCTTCATGAAAAACTTCGAGCAGATTTGACAGCGGCTCGGGAGGAGCATGAAGAGATAGCTGAGCAGGTATTCCGAATGTTCCATGATAGTGAAGATGAAAAATAGATAACCACTAACGATCCGATTCTATAGGTTCGGCAGAGGATCGAGCAGATTGGACGGCTTAACTCACAGGTAGATGCGCTACTGGCCGAGGCAGAAGAATTTAAAAACTGTATGGATGCCCTTGCCTCGAAAAAGGAACCCGTTCAAGCTCAGTTGGAGCTGTCTGATGCCCAACTCCGATTTGCGAAAGAAAATGCTTCGGGGCTGATCGAAAAGATGAAAGAGCTTTAGCATCAGTTGGATTTTGCCACTTCAAATAAAGCAGATTTGGCTAAAGAACTTGAAGTGGCCAGATCTGAGGTGATCGGGGCCAATAAAAGAGCCGATGCAAAAGTGGCTCATTTCAGGATCGATGTTGAGGTTAACCAAGCCAAAGCTAAGAGCATGGTCGAACATGCAAAATGGCAAGCTCGGAGAGACGCTCTCGAGGAGGTCAGAGCTCAGGGCTTCGATATTGGGGCCGAGATTGAAGTCGCCAGGGCGGAGGAGAACAAAGCTCAAAGGTTGGCCTTTCCTAAGGAGGACTCCGATGACTCGGGGGAGTCTGAAGATGAGGAAGATGCCGAGAACACGGCCTCTGATGAATATTGAATCATTTAGGGCCTTAGGTCGTTTGCTGCGTTCTTTTGATACCGCTTTCGGTTTTTGTATAAAGAACTTCCTTTTGGCTGAGTTCCGCCTTTGTACAAAAATTTGTAAATATAAATCTTTCTTCCTTTTGAATCAAAATAGCCTTTTATTAAGCTAAATAGATAGTTTGAATTTTAATCTCTCTTGCCTTCGGGCCTTGTGGGTAGTCCCCTTTGCTTTATCGGGCTCGAACAGCCTTCAGCCTTTAAATAGTCAAGTGTTCGTTTGAACTCGAAATGATGAGTAATGTTACTCGAAGTAATGTAGCCCGTAGGCATAATGGTCGAGTGAGTGCTTGCTCGAACTCGAAATAAAAGTAGCCCGTAGGCTTAGTAGTCGAGTGAATGATTCAAACTCGAAGTAATGTAGCCCGTAGACGTAATGGTCGAGTGAGTGCTTGCTCGAGCTCGAAATAAAAGTAGCCCGTAGGCTTAGTAGCTGAGTGAATGATTCGAACTTGAAGTAATGTAGCCCGTAGGCGTAATGGTCGAGTGAGTGCTTGCTCGAACTCGAAATAAAAGTAGCCTATAGGCTTAGTAGTCAAGTGAATGATTTGAACTCGAAGTAATGTAGCCCGTAGGCGTAATGCTCGAGTGAGTGCTTGCTCGAACTCAAAATAAAAGTAGCATGTAGGCTTAGTAGTCGAGTGAATGATTCGAACTCGAAGTAATATTGCCCTTAGGCGTAATGGTCGAGTGAGTGCTTGCTCGAACTCGAAATAAAAGTAGCCTGTTAGCCCGTAGGCGTAATGGTCGAGCGAGTGCTTGCACGAACTCGAAATAAAAGTAGCCCGTAGGCTTAGTAGTCGAGTGAATGATTTGAACTCAAAGTAATGTATCCCGTAGGCATAATGGTCGAGTGCTTGCTTGCTCGAACTCGAAATAAAAGTAGCCCGTAGGCTTAGTAGTCGAGTGAATGATTCGAAGTCGAAGTAATGTAGCCCGTAGGCATAATGGTCGAGTGAGTGCTTGCTCGAACTCAAAATAAAAGTAGC